ATCTCTCTCTCAATCTCTCTCTCAATCTCTCTCTCAATCTCAATCTCTCCATCTCAATCTCTCAATCTCAATCTCTCAATCTCTCTCTCAATCTCACACTGACGACTAGGTGCAGGTCCGTCATCGTTTCGCATGCCTCCGGGAATCTCAGGAACGCAAACGAGCCGCGCGCATCCGTGTAACTACTCGCCCGTCCAGTTTGAGAAATAATAATGAAATAATTTGCACTCCGAGCTCCGACGGCTGATACGAGCGTCGGAAATCATTTTACGACCCGATCGAGGCCTCCTCGACTCGCCTCGTCGCTGCTTCCGACGCGCAACGAATTAGCGAGCTCCTTGCCAAACGACTGTCCGATTGATTTTCGTTATTTATCCCATTGACTCTGCTAATAAACTTATCCGTGTCCTTGGCACGATCGTTTCAAAGCCATTAGTTGGAAAAGTTTGTTGTAACGTTTAATCGCTTTCAAAGTGAGTTGCCGTCGTTTAATGCTCGTCAAGCGAATTGCATAGGGGAGGCTTAGCGAATATCGTTGTGGAATGGCAAATGGACAGCGGCACCAACGGCAACGACTACGACCGTGAGCACGACCACGACGACGATAACGACGATTACGACGATGACGACGACGATGACGACGATGATGACGACAACGATGACAAGGACAACGTCGGTAATAATATCACGAAAATTTCTAAAATTTTGGGAAAGGAGCGTAGGGACAGACTGCGAGAAGTCAGGGGACCGATTTTTTCGTAACTCGGCCCCGATTCCTAGAGAGATATCCAGCACAAGGCTGCCCGGTCGATCGAGAGCGTTGGCCAACCGGAGTCGTAACAAAAGGCCCTCAAAGAAACACAGACAGACAGACAGAGAGAGAGAGAGAGAGAGAGAGAGAAAACGCGAGAGAGAAAGTGCGCGCACCTGCGTGTTTACGCAGCTCGAACATGGTGGACGCGTGGGAGCACTTACTAGGCCTCGTCGTCGAGCTCGATGAGCACGCGCCCGGACAGAAAGTGGCCCGGGAAGTAAAGGAGGTTCGTGTTCTCGAAGAGAATGAGGAATTTGCTCAGCTTGCGGGTCATCGTGAACTCTATTTAGAGCCTGGGGTCCGAGGTTTGCTGTTGTTGTCGTTGTTGTTGTTTCTGATGCTGCTGCTGCTGCTGCTGCTGCTGCTGCTGTTGGTGGTAGCAAAGGTGATAGTGGTGGTGATGGTGGTGGTGGTAGTGGCGGTGGTGGTGCGCGCGTAGATGCTGCGGCCACGACTCGCGCATCATGCAGCCGAGCCGGAGTTGATCGCGAGCGACACTGCACTGCCGGATCCCCTGGTCGCGCTCCTTTTTTTCTCTCTCCTACCAGGCGCTACACCTCCGCCCCCTCCGCCGCGATTCCGACTCGTCCTGACCATTCTTGGCGCTCGGCTCACTTTCGCTCCCCTACTACATTCCCGCGAGGATGCAGTGCGTGAGTGTGCGAGCGGGCCCCGCGGGACTCTCGGCTCTTTCGGTCGCGATCCCCCTTCTCCCTACGCTTTTACAACTTTCGACCGTTTATTTGCTTCTCTCTCTCTCTCTCTCTCTCTCTCTCTCTCTATCTCTATCTCTATCTCTCTCTATCTCTATCTATCTTTTTGCCTAAGACGGCCCTTACCGCGCCATCGAAGACGCCGTGACTTTTCCGCCCACCTTTTCATAGGAGCTTACAGTGCCCTTTCGTCGGATCCTGTATCTCTCCTTCTCTTCCTATACTCTTCGCGACGATCGACTGCAGCCGACTCACGCCATTGATTCTGAATCAACGATTATCCGAAATACGTACTTTCGATTTCTTTCGACATTTACAACAGATTTTCAGCTTTGCAGTTTGCACAATTCGATTTCCCCTGCTCGATGTTGCGAACGCACGCGCAATTGGCAGCACTCTTATGCATTAGTTATGGTGATAAGATATTTTTAAAGAAAATGAGCAACGTTAGCCCATTCGAGCTTTAAAATATCCATCAACTTAAGCGTCTTTGAAACTTTGAACGGCAATGAAACTTATTGCAGTGTCGAGAGCTCCATAATCTAAACGTTGCATTATTCAAAGTATTATGTTACGAGTCGGTACAGTAGGTCACGCAGTAAATAATCCAACAGGATTTATGCATAGTGATTTAGTAGTAACAATTGCATCACTTTCAGCTTTGTATAATGTCGATTGTCTTCGACCCATGAATTTCCTATTTTATACACTTTTTATAGCCTACAATTATAATGAACATTTAATACGAGATTTACTGAAATATTACAAATTTTATTCGATACGTAATAGTTTTTACATAGTTAATAGTTGGAATAACGAATATTGTAGTTTCGAGAAAATTATAATCAATTTAATGACATTCGAAATAGAAATGAAATGAAGCTTATAAGTTTCTTAAATATTCTCGGGTTATTACATTGCTTTCACGGCAAACTTATTATTTTCAAGTTTTAAATATTAAATGATATTGTACCGATTGAAAAATTCGTGTAAAACTGTCGATACTTTATAGATATAAGCGTTCGAATATTTTGACTTAAAATTCTTTTAGCTTTCAACGTAGATGCTGTTGCTTTTAGAAGCAATGCTCGGGCAATGCAATATTTATGTAAAGTTATAGAAATGCTCAAGTACCATTGTTCGGTATCGCATTATATGAGAGTTCATGAAAGTCAGTATATGAACTATATGCGCCGTTACAAATATCTCGTTAGATTATGATTTTTTATTATTGTTGATTGTAATACTTGACTTGAAAGTGGACAAGGAGGGTAATGTAAATTATTTTCTTGAAAAGTGTTAATGGATTGAATTAATTTTTGACAACTGTCCATAGATGAAATTAGTTGTAATTTTACAGGAGAGAAGCTTAGAAAATACCTCAACAATAAAATCTGAACATTTAATTGAATTTTTCAAATAATTTTAAACGTACTTTATCTTATTTTAGTTTCAGCATTATTATGTATATTAAGTTAATTAAGACGTTTAATAGAGACATTAAAATGACCAGTAAATTGTGAGCAATCTGTAGCTACATTATTAACAATTAAGATAAATATATAGTATTTTTATAAAAAAAAATTATAATATAAACATGAGTATACTTATATTAACAAGCAATATATTTAAAAAGTATTTTTATTTGAATTCAATTAAATCGTTAAATTGTCGTAAATGTATTGTTGAATTTTAAATAATTGCTTATTTCTTGATAAATTTATTACGTACTATTATTAGAATAAGATAAGTGAAGCAAGTGTTTTAATATTATTTACAATGAAGTTAATTATTTTATGTATTAAGTTCACCTAAGTCTGTTAATATAGAGATTCTATACTATTCATAAGATACTACTTACGCGAAAATGAAATATTATAGTAAATGAGAATAAAAGTTAATATTAATGGTATTGTAAGCATATAATATTATTATGAAATGCTATTTTTCTATATTAATTAGAATTATAATATTTATATTATGTCATAATTCCTTCTTCCATGTTATATCAACTTATAATTCTAATAAAATAATTGTGCCAAATTATAATTTCCAACACGAATGAAATCGTGTACTCTCGGTTTTGCCAAATTTCTTTAGCATTTTTATTTACTTTAGCATTATAATCGTAGGCTCGTATATTGTATAATTTATCCAAGTGCATTGATCCGTAATTTAATTTCGTAACTATTAGTAATGATAATCATAGAAAAAACGTATGCTTTGCTTTTTATGACAACGAATGGTAATGATTGAATTTTAAAATAAATAATTGCATGTAAGCATTAGCTTCTTATTACCTTATAATTCTATTAAGTTATAATTAAATTCTTTTAAGTTCCATTTTATTGGAAAAAGAGCTCATTATAAAACATTGTCAACTTTAGATTTTGTGGGAGCATAGTGTGCTACCATCTAGCGGAATAATTTTGTACTCGTTCCGCATGTTCAGTAATGGACATATTTTTTCTCAATTAATTATTGTACATAAAATACACGCTTAATGTTTCTTATAATCACATTATTATATTGTAATACGTCAATATAAAAAAGAAGAAGAAGAATAAAAGCTTCGAAGAAATCAGTTTAATCACGGTTATATTTAATACAAGATAAAATATTTTATGATTTTATTGAATTTTCTTCTTTTTTAGGTTAGATTTTTTAATATTTTTGTTTCTCACACAATTCTAGACTAATTTTTTTTATCATTAATATGTAGGATTTCAAATATGGAAGATGTGAAAATTAATCAGAAGGAATATCTAAAAAAGTATCTTTCAAAGAAGGACGATGGGAAGAAGAAGAAAAAGAGAAAAATTAAAGTTGGAGTAAAAACGTAAGCAGAAATTTTGTAATTTCTGTTTTCTCTTTTTGAATTCACTATCCTTTCGTCACAATCTCTTCTCTTCTAGTGTTATTAATAAAAAATATCTTATAATGTAATTTACTACGATATTTACAATGATAATTCTCTAATGAAATCTTCCGAATGAAATAATCCATAAATACTTTTATAAAATCTTTTATAAAGTTTTTTTAATATAGAATCTTTTATAAATTACTTTATAAAAAATTCTAAAAATTCATATTAGGTGTTATTTACAGTGTGCAGATAATCGATGATGATATAGACCTTAAAAAGTTAATACCAGTTGACGATGATGAAATTTCAATTTTCAATACAACAGAGGACGCGCCTCAAATTGTTGGTATAATCGACGAGCGCGGACCAATAGATTTTGCTGATAAGCAACGATGGAAAGTTATAGCTGACGATGGTACTGGAGATATTCAAATTAAAAAAGTAGAACAGTTCAAAAGAGTTATGCAAGATAATAATGATTATAATGATATTACAAGTAAAAAGAAGTCCCTCGCCAAAAAGACTAAGACGGACAAGAATAATTTAAAACGCAAATCTTCTGCAAAAAAGAAGAAAAAGCGTAGTAATCGTAGCAGTAGTAGTTCTGGAGCTGAAAGTGATTGCAAAGTCAATAGAAAGTCAGGAAAGAAAAAAACGAAAAAAACCTCAAAAAAAAGAAAAAAAAATAAAAAACATGACAGTAGCTCTATTGATTCTAGTTCAGATTCTGATTCTGATTCTGATTCCAGTTTGGAAACAGATTCGGACATAAGTGTTTCCAGATCGATGAAAAAAAAGAAAAAACTGTCAAAAAAGAAGAAGGAATCCAATGACTCGGATCTAAGTCCACCTAGGCGAATTAACACAGATAAATTATCAAATAGAAAAAGAAAAAATAGTGATTCAGATTTAAGTCCTCCTCGTTCTAGGAAAGATATGAAAAAGTTATTAAATAATGAAATGCCTAGCAGTGACTCTGACATAAGTCCACCAAGGTCAAATAAAACTACTGAAATATTAGACAGGAGGAAAATAAATGATTCAGATCACCATGAATATTTTAATAAATATAATGAATTTGATGTTCATGCTGAACCAGTTAGAAAAAGATCCAAGATTGAAAATAAGATTGATTTAGATCAAAATACAGATAAAATATCAAAATCGAGGTATAATAAAAACTCTGACAAATATGACTCGGATTTAAGTCCGCCAAGGCATTCTAAATCAAAGTATAGTAAAAATTTGGACAAATATGACTCAGATTTAAATCCACCAAGGCATTCGGAATCAAAGCATAATAGAAACTTAGATAAATACGACTCAGATTTAAGTCCATCTAAGAATTCAAAATCGAAGAATGGTAGAAGATCTGATAAATATGATTCAGATTTGAGTCCGCCAAGGAATACAGAGTCAAAGAACGATAGGAGACCTGATAAATATGATTCTGATTTGAGTCCACAACGAAGTTCAAGACACGATAAACACATAGATAAATACAATTCTAATCATAGTCAACAAAGAAATTCTAATTCACAATATACGTATTTACAAAGAAATGAAGCTAATTATTCTTCACAGCGTAAATATTCATCGAAATATTCGAAAGATTCAAGTAAACGTGATTCTAATTTAAGCCCACAAAGAAATTATTCGAACCAAAGACCAAAAGTATCTCGATGGGACGAAGAGAAAAAACCATCAAGTAAGGAGAAACATAAAAAGGAAAATAGAAAAATTAAGAAAACGTTAGATGGCACATCCGCTGGCTTACAAAATTTGAAATCTCTTAAAGAAGAAGAAGAGGCACAGAAGAAACGAGAAGCCGAAATGATGAAAAATGTAAATTTTTGTAAATCTTTAGATAATGCATTATTAAAATGATAATTTGAAGAAATTAATGCTTGTTTTTAGATGGGAAGAGAAGTCAGTGGTTATGGGCAAACAACTATTGTACGTGACAAGAGAACCGGAAGGAAAAGAGATCTTGGGAAGGAAGCTGCCGATAGACGAGAAAAGCAAAAAACACAAGATGAAATAAATGAAAAATATTCCAAATGGGGCAAAGGGTAAATTCAGCTGTATAACATTATTCTTCGGTTACTCCGAATTGTGCTTATTTTATTGAAAGAACAGAAACTAAATCTATAAATTTAAAATGTAATTTAGAAATTAAAAATCTATAGTATATCTACTAATTGCTGCAGCAATGGTATCAAATTTATTCCAAGGATTAATTTGCATATTTTATGAAAATATTGAGAATCAGTATTTAAGTGTCATTTGAAAATTTATAACTTTGTCTATTTTAGTTTGAAGCAAATGGCGGATAAAAATGATAAATTGAAAAGCGATTTGCACGAGATGAATAAACCTCTTGCAAGGTATGCAGACGATGAAGATTTAGATCGTGAACTTCGTGCACGTGACAGAGATGACGATCCTATGCTGGCTTATATAAAAGAGAAAGAGATTAAAGAGGGGAAAAGAGCACCAGGTATATGCTACGCGTATAGTAATTATAATTGTATATCATGATTTTATTTATATAATTCATTATTTTTATAATTTAATTTACAGAAAAACCAAAGTACGAGGGATCGTATATGCCAAATAGATTTGGCATTAAACCTGGATATCGCTGGGATGGGGTTGACCGTAGTAATGGTTATGAGAAAAAGTGGTTCGAAGCACGCAATACAAAGAAAGCCATTGAAGAAGAGGCTTATAAATGGAGCACAGCCGATATGTAAAATTTTAAATAGGGATTCCACTTTCTAAGCAAACTATATATATACATAAACATACACAATGGTATCTTCATTCAACTCTTAAGAAGATCCTTATTGAATCCAGAAATTATATTAAATGTGATTAGAAATATGCTGAATATCTAACTCTAATTATCCATGCTACATGGGTCTTTAGATACGCATCTTAATCTTTAAATAATATTTCATTGTCTTTGTTAATACAAATTGTCAGTCATTAAAAGTTTTCCAATATAACAACAATAGGCATGGAGCTTCCTCTCAAAGCAAGTACTACGAGTATACAACTTGTACACACTATACATGGTGTATTCATTTTCAATAAAGTACATTTCGTTAAGTTGAAACAATTGAACATGATGAAATATTATGTACTAGCTAGCGGGTGAAAAGAATGACGGTGACATTATAGTAGAATTATCTTGATAGCTTATCGACTATTCCTCTGGCTTTAATAATCCATATTTAACTACAATAAGAGTTAAGCTAAATTAATTTACTATTCATAGGGAACAGTATTTTTTCTTTGGTCGTTAAAATGGCTACTTGTGACGAACAGTAATTCTTCTAAAAGAATCGCTCAATCTTAGGATTGATGTAATAAGCATTTTGTGTGATTATCCGTATACGTGCCGAGTTTATTACTTCAAATCCGAATGAACTTGTAATTAATCAAGAAAATTAAGCATCTCTTGAGAGTGTTAGAACCTTTTCTCGATGACTATTCACTTCCATTCGCAATGACGACATCGAACTTTTCATTTAAGCAAATTCAAATTTTTATTATAAAATGAAGAGTAAAATACATTTTTTTTTTTTTTTTAAAGAGATTTTAAAAATCATATATATATATATATATATTATATTTAACATGATGAGTAATGATTATGCCTGTTAAGCTTCTTTTTTACAAATTAAAAGAACTTTAGCTTAAGATTATTTGATCGTCTGTTGACTTGTCCTTAGAACGATGTCTGATTTCCTATTTAAACATGTAATGACAAATCGTAAGATTATATACATAAGTTCAAACATATTCTGCGTTAAATATTTAATACTATACAATTTTCTTAATAATTACGAATTTTTATACAAATTTTTATATACATAGATGACTAAATGAAAAGTTGAGTTTCCTACGGAATTTCTTAATATGGAAAGAGATTGTAAGGTATGTTTTCTGTTGTATTCCAATACCAGAATTTCTTGTTTATAGATTTTTTATAGTATACAAAATAAAATAATCAAGAGCAAAATAACAAAAGATCAACGTTGGTTTAGAGATAATTTTTGGATATACTTTACAATGTCTATATTCTCCACGTCATTCAGCAATGAAAAAGAAAAGTAAGACAAAAAAACTGTAAAAATTTTTTTATATAATATTTACTTTTATTATTATTATTATTGAATGTATTCTCTTGAGTTTTTTTATACATACAAATATTTTTCGTAAATTTTGTATTTATATGTTGATAGATTCAATATGTAATAACTCATGTAATAGATATACTTATGTATAAATGAATAATAAATTGATTTATTATTAATTAAAAATTTTTGCGTATCTGATTCAAAATTTATTTAAACACTTATTATATACTACCTAAGTGCAGTATGCATGTGAACGGTAAATTATAATATATTTAATTATTGTAACTATTATATTGTTATTCAAATATTCATCCTACACACATAAATACGTGAACATATTGATTGAGAAAATAGAAAATCTCGCATTCAAATAAAACCTACAATGTTTTATTCACGTTATGTAAATCTACGTGAATATGTATACTATATTTTTTTGCAAAACAAATTTACATATAAATTTTACATATTATTCGATGGAAAAGACAGATTTTAAACAAATTTTTAAAAGTGATTTTTTATGTTAAATACTAATCCCGGAATACTATTAAAAACATATTTTATAATAATATTATGCGCACAGTTTCTCTTTTCTTTTATACATTACTCTTCTAAAAAAAAAAAAAAACAAAATTTTTTTTTTTAAAAAAAAAAAAAAAAAAAAAAAAAAAAAAAAAATCAAAATTTGATTTTATAAAATTTTTTTATTTATTTACGAGTTATATAACATATATTGATATATTTTATTAATGAATTTTAAAATTTTATTTATTTTTTATATAAGCTTATGTTGCAACAGGATTTCATGTATAATAGTTTGAACTAAAAATTCTTCTTTTTTTTTTTTTTATAGCAATAAAATAGTTACGAGGCATTCATTTATTTATTACATTACAATAACTGATTCTTTAATGTTTTTAGATAATGATTATATGATCATTTTCATTTTTCAAATGTTAAAAACATCCATTACAATTCAACGTAATTAAACTAATTTTATCATACATAAAAACAAGCACATAGGACATTGTAAGTCCTATTTATACGGCTGTGCATATAAATAAATAGGGAGACACCCAAATAGATATATACAATTATCGAGACGCATTACATAAATCTATCTCTATTAGGTTTGAAATAATAATAATTTTATTCTTGCGGAAGTAGAATTTCCAATAGTATCGTGTAATATGTAAATCGTGTTAATATGGCTTGTATGGTGTGAATTTTTATAAATTAAAATTTCAAATGAGAAATGACAAAAATGGTTTAACTTAATATATTATTAATTATGCAGGAACATTGCACAAGAGAATATTGCTGTTACAGTAATGTGAAGCTACTAATGTCTAAGGTGGAGTGATAAGTTAAATAAGTGATAAATTCGTAATGGATATTATAATAGAATTAGCAATGTTTTCGTTTTAGTAGCCTAACAGAATATTTAAGTTATATTTTTGAAATTCAAAACATCGATTAAAAGAATATTTCCTTTTATATGTGTGGTTAATGTTTATTTTTATTAAAAAATTTTATTTTATTTTAAAAAAAAAAAAAAAAAAAAAAAAAAAAACTATAAGTATGCGATAATTACATTACATTGTATTACAGATGAAAAAATAGAGAAAAGGGACTTGTTTATGCCATTTTATTACATTAGAATTTTTAACGAAATGATTTGGAAACGTATGTATTAGCATTTTTTCACATAGATATTTTTAGCCATAAGTAAAAAAAAAAACCAGGAAAATAATTTTTTCGATTAAAGAGAATTTAAATCATAGCTGAAAGAATAAACTCTCTTTCGCCTAGCAAATATTTTTCCTTAATCCTTCGAGACGGATATTACTTCTATATTGTTTTGGAATATAATTATATATAAGTTGGCCATTTATTTAATAACGTATTCGACTTTTCATCGTTTTGATTTTAATTACTTAAGAATTCTCACGTCTAAGTAAGCGTTAAAAAGTAATATTTTGAATTATTTTTAAAATCACTGCCATCAAAATATAAACTATTCAAAATTCATTATCTAGTTTTGTTTTAGTACACATTAATTTTTCACTTGTTAATAATCCATAATATATATTATATATATCTTAGATATCAAAATTTTCTATCAATAAAATTTTTCATTTCTTTGATTAATCAGACATTCTATAAAATAGATATTTTGCAAAGATATTAGTTATTTTTCCTCATTTTAACGAAGTGTATTAGAAAAAAATGCATTATTGATTATTGATAGAGAGAAGTAGTGGGATAAACAAGTATAAATGTTTAAAATATATATTTATATTTTACCTTCAAAATCTCAAGTGGGGATACACTCAATTAATAAATAAAATCAATTAAATAATATCAATTTTTTTTTCAAATAATTTCAAAGATGAAATAATATCAAATATTTAGCTTTTTTTTTTTTTTTAAATGCACAATATTTACTAAAGATTTTAGATGGTAAGAAAACTGACGGAAATCCCTTTGAATATAACTAATGCCAAGAATTATGTAATGAATGTATGGTAAAAATAAATTTTCCTCTTTAACGGGAAAGTAAATCTGTTAAATTTAAGTATTTCCCCGTTAAATGTAATAGAAAATTCATCATACGAGCTTTATTTAAAATTTAAAATGATACTGATGTAATTTGATGGCGCAGGGAGTAAAGAATGAACTTCATTTTCCATTTTACTTGAAGCATCGATTTACGATGATTCCGTCTTTCGCGTCTTTGAAAATATGTATTTGAGATTGTATCGAGTGAAAAATGAAGGGAGGCACTGAAAATCTCCGATATAAACATTTACATAACATATGTATATACATTGCGCATTTTTGAAAAAAAAAAATCAGTACCGTTCAGCACTTGCTTATATAATCGAATTAATTAAAGCATTCTTTAAGCTTTAAGCTTTAGGCTTTTGCAGCAACTGAAAATTTCGATAATTAAATCACAATTTGTGCAAATAATTATTTTGTACATGTGGTAATGACATGTCATCGAAATAAGATCTATTGGATATTATTGCATAAAGTATCGAAGAGTATAAACACGATAATATTCATTGATACAAATGCAATGGGCATGTATTCACTTTACTTTATCAGCGGTGATAGTGCATTCTCACTTGATGATAACCGCTGTTTTCAATGTTTGTTGCTTTATTCTTAATTCGAGCGCAGACTCTCGACAATCTTGCCATTAAAAACATCAGACCTGATAAGTATTACAAAAGCAAACACAATCATCTTTGTCGTAGAATTGTGGAATTGTCTAGTACCAATGTAAAAAGCACTCGGTATAAAATTGAAAATTCTACTATTATTTAGATTTATTTACATAGTTTCATTACAGAAAAATATATAATAATTTTCTTAATATCATTATTGACCGTTTAGCTAAAACTAAGTAAACGTATCCATCGACATTACCACAAAAGGCATTAAAATAGTTTTCAAAATATACAACCCAAAACTCTGGAATCGCAAGGAACTTATGTGATTTTATTTACCAAGCCTGGCATTTAGCACGATTTTGCGATTAACTTGAAATTATTAAGCGAATCATAAATAAGCCAACTTGACGTACGGTTTTTCAGGAGTGTTAGCGATTTAAAAAAATGTGACGAGTCTTTGTACGAGTAGTGGGATATGCGATCCATTTGCTTGAGGACCGTAAGTGACCGGTAAAATATCGAGACTGTGCATTGCTTTTGGCGAATGAGCATTGGTTCAAGGATGGCCGGTAGCCACGTATGCCACGACAAATCGCGACCTAAGCTCTTCCAAGGTCACGGAGTCTCGCAAACTCGGATGCTTAACGATGTCGAACGATGCCTTTGGCAGCTTCTCTCGGAGTAAAATTATCAATCGAAACAACGAGCTGGCAATGATCATGGTAAAGTTACTTAGGAGCCTCTACAGTCTCGCAACGACATTCACAGAATGGATGTGGCGAATTCAGCCGAGAGGGCGTAAAATCTACGTCGACTGAGTCCTTGCGATGAAAATTTTATGGGCTTGAGGATAAGGCCGTTAAATTAAATACTCTTATGTTAGGGATATAATAGGGCATTTTATTATTGGTCCTGAATTGTCAGAGTCGGGGACGTTATGTATTTCATTCGCATTGACTTCTTACAATCTTATACTCCTCCAGCTGCAATTATATTGAAATTGCATGTCATGCTCGAGGCACCGATATCGGATTGCGATGCATTTCTGATAAAAGAGCGTCAACCTTATGCCTTAGTGATTTTAGTCGGTGATAGCTGGAAGTGCATTGTGTTTGTAGAGTATCTTTATTAATTCATTGTACAAATGTATGAAAGATACCGGCGCTTATCATAATTTTATATATTAATGTATACAATGGACACTTGTAGTCATCTAATTTTTCGTACCTTAAGGAATACGAAACCCTAAAATCATA